GAAATCGCTGATCATTGGATCATGGTCTTCATACCGTGGCCGTCACAGCCGGCGCAACGCTTGACGGCGCCCTCCTTGCCGCCGCGGCCTTCGCACTTGGGGCAGATGATGGAGCGCTGGAGGGCGAGCTTGGAGATCTTGCCGCGGTAGATATCCTCGAGCGAGACCTTGTGAGTGTGATGGATGGTGCGGGCCTTGGGAGGGCCACGGTTCTGCATGCCACCGCCAAACATGCCGCCGAGGCCACCGCCGCCGCCGCCGAAGAATTGAGCGAACAGGTCCTCAGCGGCCATGCCGCCGCCGCCGGCACCTCCCTCGAGGCCGGCCTCGCCGTACTGGTCGTAGATGCTGCGCTTCTGGGAATCGGAGAGAATTTCGTAGGCGTGTGAGATTTCCTTGAACTTGTCCTCGGCAGCAGGGTTGTGCGCGTTCTTATCTGAAGGTGACATCTATTAGTTGCGGCCTGACGTGATGGCAAGGCGATAGGAGGCACATACCAGGGTGGTACTTCAAGGCGCCCGTCTTGTAAGCCTTCTTGAGCTCTTGCTCAGTGGCGGTAGGCGCAACCTGTACTTATGTAAGTCCTTTTTTTCTTTTTCTTCTTTTCGATGCCGTGTTGTAAACGACAGAGGAACACATACGCCAAGAACATCGTAGTACTTGGTTTCTTTAACCATCTTGTCGCGGGGCTAAAGGGTGCTTATCGGAGAGGGTTGGCGGGGAATCCGGATATTGACTGGGGCAGTTGGAGGGGTGGGATGGAGGGGTCTACAGCAGGGGAATTCCCGTTAGTCGCAAGTCTTGAGCAGTCGTGAAGAGTCGCTGGCAGTGCCAGTTTATGGGGTTTAAGAATGTCGTCAAGTCGAGGCGACAGTCATGAAGCCGGCTGTGGTTGGATCTCGGGCGAAGGTATTGTTCGGCTAGGCTGGGGAGGGAGGTGACAGGGGCACGGGTGCGGAGAGTACTGACTGTAAAGAATCGGCTGTAAACTGCGCGATGGATCGAGGGTTTGTTCTGCGAAATTCGTCTGTCGAGTTGGATGGGGTTGCAGGCGCGCAGGAGGGAAGAGTGGAATATGATGTCTTATGATCGCAAGTGCATCAAAAGATTTCTGACGGCTCAAGAAAGAAGACTCTGGAAAAGCACGAGGCGGAATACGTAAACGCCTTGACTCTGGGTTTTCAAAATAAAGGGAGTTTGCGGGTCTCTCACTCGCTGCCTTGCTGGAAAGCGGGAAGCTTGGGCTGGTCATGGAAGAGTGTGGAAGACTTTCGATCGGACGCGCCACTGTGGCGGTGCCATTCACGTCTGTGCGCCCTTCCATCCGATCATTGCCTGCCTCTTTCCCTCTGTCTGATTACGTGAGGCTTTGCCCAACAAGGCTCTCCTGTTCCCCTCAGGGTATTTGTGGCATAGGAAGATTCGTGATTCTGTCCTTGCAATCAAAACAGTCGCAACGATTCTGATCAAGGAGCTAGATCATTTTCGGCATTGTCCTATTCGGAACGTCGGATTGGTCCCACGCAAGCCCCTCACAATAAAAGCTTCTTCCTTCAATGAGCTCTCGCCAATATCTTCTGGCGCGGCACCTAGCTGAACTCTCGATCTGGTCGTAACGTACGTAGGCTTCGTCGAGGGGCAGCCGTTGCTACTACTTATACCCAGATAGCTAAGTCGACGAGGCGAATAGAGGCGAAAGTCCCTCCGGATGGTATCCAAGCTCGTACTGACAAAACCCCGTCGCCTGCGCGGCCGCCAGGTATAGTTACGGCGTTCCCGATGAACATGATAGGTCTCACAAGGCCCCGTCAGGGTCCTCCAAATAGAACGAAGTAAAGCCCAGACTACAATGACATTCTGCCATGCACATTTGCCTGCCACTCTCTCCCCTTTCCCGTTGAATAATTTGCTGTGCAACAATTTGCTGTGCGACCAATTGTAGTGCAAAGAGATTGACAAGGGTGTCGGCATCGCCATACCGCCAAAAGGCGGAGGCTGGTCTTGTTTACCCGTGTCTTGGGCATGAAAACTATCTTGTCGAAAGCTCGTATTCGTGCCAAGTCCGGCCCAGATCGCCAATACCGAAGCTATAGACCCCTGACCTGGGGAGACGACCCCACTCAGCCCACTGACTTGGGAGTCAGGAGCCTGGAATAGATATCATCACGATGCTTGGAATACGAAATGATCCACCAGGGTCAAAACTTGAATGTGCTCATAAAATCTATGGAAGCCCCCCCATGGCTCTGACAACAACTCGTTCATCTCCTTCTTGACGCCGGATTCATATCATCACAATCTTCTGAAAAATGGCACCTCCGTCTATGCTCCTGGCAGTGGCCGCCGCCGCGATCCCTCAGCTGACTGCTGCCGTCTCTGTGGACTTGCCAATCACTTACTACAACAGCTATGTAAGTCCCCCCATTCAAGCCTGCCAAACAAGGCCAATGCGAGTAGTCTGGTTTTGGGAACGCTCTGTTAATCGAGATCCCAGTCCAGCGTCGACGTCGAGATCGGAAAGCCCTCCAAGACGTACCGTCTTCACCCCGACACTGGCAGCTCCACCACATGGGTTGTCGACAAGGGCTGCGCTGAATGGTGCCACAACAACACGCCGTAGGTGGTGCTCGTTCCGAAGGTGGACGCACGAGAGACTAACAGCGGCCAGGTATCAACGTGTTGGATACAATGTGACGGCGTCCTGCACAGGCTACCCCCTAAACAGGACCGCCGACATCGGCTACTTGGGCGGCTACGTTGCCGGTGATGTCGTGAATGACAAGTTTATGGTCAACAACCACACCTGGCGCCAGCCCTTCCTCAGCACCTACTATTCCGACTGGAACAACATGCCTACCGACGGCTTCATGGGCCTTGCTTTTGACAGCATTATTGTGGGAGACGCCAACAACGTGCTGACCATGCTGATGCCCAACCTCGATGAACCCCGATTTGGCATTTACCTTGGCGATAATGACGCCGCCGATAAGCCTGGCCTGCTGACGATCGGCTCCTCCAAGGAGTCTGAGTACTCGAAAGCGGAGCTCACGAAGATTCCGATCGTCAAGGGCCCGGATGGACGTTACGACGTCTGGCGGTCCACTATCAAGGGTGTCTCGTTCAAGGGCTTCGACTCGGTCAATGGTGGGAAT